AATAAATAAATAAATAAATTTAAACAAATTGTTCTTGTGGCTCAGTGGCGGAGTCGCTTGACTTTCACCACTCAGGTTCCGGGTTCGATTCCCATAGTAGAATCGTAGAACCTCATGTGAAATTTGTTGCGACAAAACGAGTTTGCACATGTTTCACAGGGACTAGTCCCTACCTACATCCTACCACAATGCTAATTCCTTCCCAATTCAGGCCGCTGAGTAGTGACACAGGGGCGCGTAGTAGGAGGCGCGTACGCGGAGGTGCTACTTGGCGGTCCTCTTGACAACTGACTGCGGACGGCGACGTGACGGATATGTCAATGATAATAATTAATGGAGGATTAATCCGGAAGCGCAAAGCGCTCAACGCTCCCGGGGCATGAAGTCACGTTTACGTCAATTAAAGACGCAACAAATTGATTAAAAAAATGTAACACGTGAGCAATGAACTGTATAGTGAGTGTTGATTCAGAAACAGCATGTTTTAGTGTAGTTGGTTTACGTTAGCTTGGGGAAAAAATCGCCAATTCGATTCGGTCAATTTGACTAGCTTCGCTCGCGCATTTACAAGTCAACAGTCAACGGCAAGGCGCCGTCCTTCAGCCTCTCCGATTAACATAAAAAAAAAATCCTTAAGAACAGTTAACGCAAAACTTCCAACGTGTTTTACAGCAAGACGAAGTTACGAATTGATTCATAATCCTCGCTTTCCCGTGTATCACTTTCCACCACGTTTGCCGGTCTATATGACAGCTTGCGGGGGATTTTCCGTCTGGAGGTATCTCCCCACAGCGGGGCTTCGCCCCAGCCGAGAAACGCACTAACCTCCCGACTAATTTCCCATCATACCATGTACGTGCAAACGTGGAGCAGGGTGGAGACTGTTAAGTAGAGGCGCGGAGGAGCCAAAAAGCAGCTTCACAGTTACGCCGCATTGGTCTTCCGAATCAAAAGACTTTTGCTCTCGGCCACACGAACTAAGAGGAGTCAGTCAGGCGCTTTTCACGCAGAATTTCAAATTGTTTAAATGGAGCAGACAAGAAAGTTACTAGACCTGCGGCAGGTTCGTGCATTCATTACAATAAAAAAGCTCAGAAAGAATCTATCTAGAAAGCAATCTTCAAAGGGTGTATAATTTCATTGTAAAAATTGAGTTTTTGTAAACATTTTAAATTCTAAAATGTCACACGTGCGTTTCTTTGTTCTTGGTGCTATGAAGTTCCGTGTTAAAAAGATAATTAAGGATTTTCCTTACACCTTTCCTCTCCTGGATGAAGAGGTGTCTTGATTAATTGCGTTTGAACATGCAAAAGATAGGCTATTTGAACGAATTAGTTTGTGCTTGTTTGTCTAACATGAAAAATCAACTTTCTAAGAAATAACTTATATTTTAAGCAACTCACTTTTTCCTGTTTTTTCTAGTTTCAAGCTTTTCAGTCATAACACTGTGACGACTTGATGGATTAGAAGGATTAATAACCGCAAGTTAAGCACCGTTTTTTTTCCGGAAATAATACGGATTTGGCAGTAATATTAAAATACTCACACATACGCACATCCACACGAACTACAAATATCTTAACAGATATATTTCAGAACAAATGAAAAGGTAAAACCGGAATCTCAATGCAGATGCAAGAGAGATCCCTGGTGCAAGAGAGAGACACGGATGCAGGCCAGGGCTAACAAGCGGAGGGCGAGGCCGTTTACTTGAACAGGATCTCTGATTGATTATATTTCGTCAGTGACGGCATGCAGAAACGAGAAGCGTCAGGACTTTCCGGTAAATAACTTCAATGCTTTATTATTACCGACATCTCAAACAGTCATCAATAACTGTTTGAGATGTTTGGATCTACTGACTTAAAATCTGTTTTCAATTGCAATCCATTATTAAACTGATGTCATTGATTTCTGAGCATCATTACGTCGTTTTAAAACATTTTAAAGGGTTATTTATATTCCTTAAAACCTCCAAGTATTGCTCAGCTTTAATTGCCTTAGAAGTTAAAATAAGAAGGAATTCAAACAACTGGATATCGATCCAGTTTTCTGAACTATTTTCATCTGCCTAATGCTTACTCGTTGAATTTATTGTTAGTTCATTGCTTCTTTATTGAGCATATAATTTCAGTTTTCAGCAAATAATAATAATAATAATAATAATAATAATAATAATTTTAACAAATACTTTCAATCTTGTCGTGAAGAAGAGGGATAATAATAATAGTTGTTGAAATGTGTTCCTGGAATCCCCACGATTAGTTTTGCAAATAAATTGAAGGGCTCAGTAGGTCAAGGTTACCCATGTGGAATTGAGTCGTGAGTATTAAATAAAATTCCAAATATTATTATTTTAGTCTAATCTAGTATTTAACCCAGTATCGACCTTATATGTAAATGTACCGTGTTTAAAAATGAGCTGAGTTATATTATGAAAGTTACAGTAAAACCATCAATATCTCAGAGGTAGGTCGATGTGGGATAGTCAATTGTAGGTACGTCCATTTTGTGACAGTAAAAAAAAAAACAATTATTCGTTGGTTATTGTTGCATTTATTGTTATAAACGTTTTTGGAACTGTGATTTCACCTTAACAGTTCATCCGTGGAGCATTTCATGAAGTGAACGCATAGCTACACGAAATGTTTATAACAAATGCAATTGTATCACCTGAAGCCTTGTTTTCTGCTGTTATAAAACGACTCGTCTCCCAATGGTCCTTCCAAATTTACTTGCGAATTTAATCGACGGGCTTACTAAGAAGAAACAATTTCTAAGAAGAAAAGGAAATATCAAACACTGGGTGCTAAACTGAAAAACAATTATGTATTTAACATACGGTTTACGGGATATGGAAATAGTACAAATTGATTAGTCGCAAAGAAATTCAAAGAGACTGGGAAGAAATTAATTCCGCTTTAGACTAATATTTGCAAAATTACTACTTTTAGGATATCAATTTCTTATGTCTTTTTACCGCTAAAATCGAATTTAAGACAACGACATAATACTACAGTTGGACACAGTGATTTGCAATATTATTACTTTAACAAAATTAATTTGTTATTTGTCTTATTACCGCTAAAATCGAATTTAAGACGACACAATACTACAGTTGGACACAGTGATGTGCAATATTTATACTTTTATGAAATTAATTTATCTGTCTTATTACCGCAAAAATCGAATTTAAGACAACGACATAATACTACAGCTGGACACAGTGATTTGCAATATTATTACTTTTATGAAATTAATTTGCTATCTTATTACCGCTAAAATCGAATTTAAGACGACACAATACTACAGTTGGACACAGTGATTTGCAATATTTATACTTTTATGAAATTAATTTGTTATCTGTCTTATTACCGCGATAAATCGAATTTAAGACAAGGGCATAATACTACAGCTGGACACAGTGATTTGCAATATCATCACTTTTATAAAATTAATTTATCTTATAACCGCTAAAATCGAATTTAAGACAACGACATAATGCTACAGCTGGAAACAGTGATTCAAGATCAGGCTGGCAGTTTCTCGCGTGCGCTCGAGGTCTCCCACGCCAGCGGTTCGGCGTGACCTTTTGCAGCGCAGTCGATCACGTAGGCCACGGCCGGGGCGGGGGCGGGGGCGAGGCGAGGCGAAGACTCACCCACCGCGGCTGTTTGTCTACCTGCTTTCTCGACTGCAGCTACGATTGCTCCTGCCTCTGCGCACACGGAGGCATTTCCCACTTCAGAGGATGCTCCACGGATAAACTGATAAGGTGAACCCACAGCTCCAAAAACGTTTGTAATAATACATGACAACTATAACAAACCAATCATTGGTTTCTGCTGTCACAAAATGGCCCTTCCTACAATTGACGGGCGCAGTAGAACAAGCGGCTATCCCACATCAACCTAGATAGCAGATATTGAGGACTTCTTTGAGAACTTTCATAATAAAACTGAGTACACTTTTAAACACGTACTCTTGGATATAAGGTCCATACTGGATTAAATACTTGATTATACCAAAATAATAATATTAGAAGTTTTATTTAATGCTAATAACTCAATTCCACAAAACATGTGGGATAACTCCTTGTCCTACTGAGCCCTTCAATTTATTTGCAAAACTAATCGTGGGGATTTCAGGAACACCTTTCAACAACTATTATTACTATTCCTCTACTTCACTACTAAATATGTTATGAGTCGGTTGAATACAAAATCTGCTCCAGGCTGCTACCAACTTTCAACCACTTATTATTATTATTATTATTATTATTATTATTATTATTATTATTATTATTATTATTATTTAAAGACATTAGAGACATCGTGAAATGTGTTGAATTCGGATTCCATTCAAGAGTATTTAATATTCGTGTCCACCTAAATGCGTTTGTAGACGTACCGTCGTCCAATCTTCGTTTTCGCGAATTAGATTGTGAATGGTTTATGACGTGCTGGTCGAAGGAGATTGAAAGTATTCGCTGAAATTATTATTATTATTATTATTATTATTATTATTATTATTATTATTATTATTATTATTATTGTTATTACTTTCAGAAAACTAAAATTATTTGCTCATTAAAGAAGCAATGAACTAACAATAAATTCAATTAGTAAGCGCTAGGTAGATGGAAATAGTTCGAAAAACTCGATCTACAGCCAGTTGTGTTTGGATTCCCTATTTTAACTTTGTAAGAAATGAAAAGCTAAGCTGTATTTGCATATTTTAAGAAATATAAATATCTTTTTAAAATGTTTTAAAACGAAGTAATGAGAATCAGAAAGCTCGGAAATCAATGATGATCAAATACATCAGTTTAATAGTGAATTACAATTGAAAACAGATTATTAAACCAGTAGAACATACTATCAATAACTGAGATGTTGGTAATGATAAAGCATTAAAGTTCTATATTCATGAAACTACTTTTCTGTTTAGATAATATTATTGGAAAAAAAATATAGAGAGAATTATAACTCCAGGTCCGCCACAGGCGCTTTCCAACTTTTCACGTATGCAAATTCCACTATCGTTCCGAAAATGTTACATACACACACACTTCTCATAATTATATATTCCCTCACAGTCGGCCAAGCGCCGGTGGCAGTCGGTGAGAGAATGTCTCGGAAGCTCACATTCGCACACCTTTATGCGTACGGCACATAACACACATCCCCATTATCGTACACCTGACATACGTGTCCTCCTTCAAGAGAGAGAGCCGATTCGGCACGAGACAGGCAGTTGCGCGCGTTCCAATCATTGAAGTCTCCAAACAGCGAGGCACCGCGTGCTGTTCCTTCTCGCTGCCAGACGAAGCTCTTGTGGAATGTGGAATATAACGGGGACCCTTTCCCCCTCGCACCTAGAGCGCCGCGCCGCGCCAGGGGTCCCTGCTCTTCCACACTCCACGCGTTCTGTTTAACGGCCCTGCTTTGAACTCACAATCTAGTCAGTTCTTTGCTGTTCGTGTTTTCGTAGTACGCGAGACTTGTCATGGCAACCATCTGGTACATACACTTTTGAAAGTTGTATAATTTAAAGATCATACGTCGGCCAAATACACACGTTCAGTAGCAAGAACTAGCAAACGAAAGGCTTTGAAAACGTATTTGAGAGAAAGTTGAGTGAAACTATGCCGTATTTTCATTATGCAACATTAACGAGTGCAGTAGGTATCATAAAACTGCTCTCATTTCTCGTCTAGGGTACATTTCTCTTTCTAGAAAACCTAGTTGTCTTAGAACTACGTGCATTTGTTAATTATGAACTGATCATGTTCCCAAATATACCGAGTCATTGTGTGATGCAATGGTATTCATTACAGAGGTATTCATTTTCATTCTATTTCATTTTCATACAGAGAGTATTCATTTTCAATCGAAAAAAGCAGTTGTTTGAAAAATTAGTGTTTATCCAACACGCGAAATACCATCCAACCAGAAAAGTATGAGAGGGCGAGGAAGAGATGTAAAAAGAAATCTAACTCCTGCCAGGGCAACTTTTGGCTTCATTGATTCAGAACCCGCGTGCTCGAGCGGTGACGGGTCGATAGCCAGATCCAAACAGGAACAGAACAGGATCCACCGGAAACAAGAAAAAAGGGTAGACTTACTTTTGATCTCGTACGTCCGCCAGCCGTAGGCGACGTTCAGTTCTTTCTTGCCTTCGAATAGGCCGAAGTTGATCCTTCCGTCAGATTCTTCTGGATTTGATATTCTTCTCGCACGGGCAACAATCCAATATTTTGTGCCTAAAGCGGCAACCAACAGGGCTATAATGAGACACGACAGAAAAAATGTCACAAAGATCATCCCTCGCTTAAACATGGTCATTTTGATGAGTATCTTCTGGTAAACTTCAGGGACCCACTACGAAATGTACACAGACCTAATATTTCTCACACGACCGTTCCTTGGACGCTGTTTGAACACTTAGAAGTTTCTTGCACACGTGTTTCCGTTTCAGGGGTTAGTAAAGTACCGAGAGCATAATTCGAGGCGGGGCGCGCACCGCTACATTCTAGCTACGCGTCACAGCGGCATTCATGTCACTGTCGCGAGCACACCCACTTCACACGTTCTGATCCACAAAGGCGGGTCGCCGACGGCAGCTTCCTCATTCCGTTCGGGACTCGAATCCGAAGGGAGCGCCCGTCGCTGGCCCTGCGGCGTCGGGGGGCGAAGGCCCTAGGCGGTTGCGGCGCGGGCGGGCGGCGACGGGGCGCGGGCGTGGACGTTGGCGGGGTCACGGCCGGTGGGCGCACGGCCTGCGACACCTGGCTGCTGCGGCTCCAAGCGCTGCGACGCGACTGGCTGAGCTCTGCTCCGCGCCGCCCGCGCCGCCCGCCGACGCTTTCCTCGGCCGCCGCGTGGGGGCGCGGGCGGAGCAGGAGGGCAGGTGCCCGGCGGAGCGCTCGCGAGTCGCGCGCCCGCCGCTGGAAGCAGCACCGTCTTCTGTATTTTACCTACGTCTTTCGGGGCCGTTCCGGCCTTGCACGTTTATTAGGGTTGATCCATTGTTTCAACTTCAACTGCAATGGTGAATATTCCCGTTAGTGTAGTGAAAGTTCTACCTCGAGATGAGGTGGTGTTCCTCCCTGCGACATGGCGAGATCCGGCGCCAACCTACACGTCGGCCTGCGGAGGGATTTCCTCTTCACGTCTCTCCCCCCAGAGAAATCCGCGCCAGCCGGGACAAGCTCAAAGTTACAGTCTGTTCTCTCGACGTGAGTCGTTATGCAGTGGTTGTACAAAGTATTGGTATTGTGGTGAGTTTTCGTTGGCATTTACAATGAAATAATTATAAGTCATTGCCAACAATATTGTTTATTACAATAGCAGCTTTCGATTGGTTAGCCATCATCATCAGTTTAGGACCATCAGGGTAGCCCGTTTTGTGGCTTCCATAACGCAGAAAACTGATGATGTTGGCTAAGACATCGAAACCTGCTACTCGTATTGTAATAAACAATATTGTTAAGAATGTACTAAGCATAAATGTAAGGAAAGAAGATAGGAAAAGGAAGAGGAAACGTGCTTACATTTTAAACGAAATATTTTTCATTTTATTTATTAAAACTTACAAACAAATTTGGAAACAATATCTTTTTCTCAAAATATTCATTATTTGAAATATTACCAGAAGATATATCAGACATAATCTAAATCAGGTCGAATCCTTCTGGATGATTCAAAATGTTTAAATATTGTAAATGAAATTGGAATGAATTAATTAATTCATTCATTTTTTAAAATATTAAATCATAAAGATTTAATAAAATGACACAGTGATTAATTTTTAATTTAGATTGAACTTTATTTATCTGATCAAACGTTTATGCAATTTTTCTGTAGAAAACTCGTTGACTATTCTTGTTGTATCACGTTTTTAAAGTTCGTGTTCAATACTCATCAAAGAAAGATTATTCAGTCGTATTTGGCTCATACTGGCTCTTATTTCACTCTTATTAGTTTTCGTCAAATTGATATGTGATTGTATTAAGAGTGAGAGTGAGTAATTCGGTATCGAAACTGAAATCGTGTGAATAAAGGGTCAATACTCATAGAAACATTTACGCGATAAATACGAACATAAGAGAATCAGCTGATTATCCTCGGATTGTAATTTATACAGTAACAATGTATCCAAACAATCAAATAAATCTCAAACGGTTGCATTTTAAAACTTAAACAATGTCGTTAGTCAGCATTGAAAATTAAACTTGAACATCATTGTACATATTCTTTTGTTTCAGTCCTTTTTTAATAGAAGGATCACAACATTCATAACGACATTTTTTTTCTTCACTTGTGAGACGTTTTTAAATGCTATGACTTACAAAGTGCGGAGCCCCCGAAAGCATGGAGGCCCGTATCACGTGATATATGTGCTATTAGGATAATCGGGGAGTGTCCCTACTAACGGATTTTTATTTGAAATCCGGATTGTTATTGGCACTTTTAAATTTCGAATTACAATTTGCGAAGCTGGTGAAGGAACAGCAATGGAAGGCAGCAGCAGAAGGAACACCAGATCTCTTTTTAATATTATCGTCTGCAGACATTTCAACATATTGAAGCATTGTAAATATAAGTGGTCTATTATTTTTACTTACCTGGTAATTTACCAATTGTCTAAAAGTATAATTGAAATGTTTATCTATTGCTGATAGACATTTAAAAATAACTGACACCTAAACAAATAGGATTACTACCTATTTTAGGTTTTGGAAGTTGCTTTCGACCTTGAAAGGCTACTTCTGTTTTTGGCGTCCTAACGAAAAAACGCGTATTATTATACGGGGGTAATATAAACCAAGGAAAGGAAAACGGTGACCTGCAAAAATGTATATGCGAAAACAACGGAAAAAGAAACATTAATGGTTTCAAAACCACGGAAATTGAAGCAAAAGTAACGTTTGAAGATGACAATCGAAAGCCACGGATGTGTCTGCAAAGAATTGTGATAGGCACTCTAAATCAACGAACTGTAAAAACCGAAGATAGACTTGTAGAGTTGCAAGAAGCATTGCTATCAGTAGAAGCATAGAGGAGAGATACAATATCTCTACTCTATGAGTAGAAGTTAATAATCTTAGGGTAAGCGAAGTACGACGCCTAGGATCGACAACAATGGAATTGCAAGACGGAAAACTATTTAGTTTTTCTGGAGGTACACGCAATGAGAAAGGAGTTGGCTTCATATTCTCTAGTAGAGTTAAGGGGAATGTAACATATTATAGCGATCTCAGATAGAATTGCTTATCTAACGTTCACCAAGATCCAGATGACAGTAATACAAACTTACGCACCAACTTCAACGTGTACGGAGGACAAAATACAAACATTCTACGAGTTAGACGAGGCTTTAGAGCGACACACTTCAAAAATAAATTTTGTGAACGAGGACTTTAATAGTAAAATTGGCCGCAAAACATGGACGTGAAACGTGTATGTGACAGAGGTGAATGTGAAATTCGTGGAGAATAACAAAATTGGAACAGTCCGAGAGGTAAAATAACAAATGAAACCGACTTTATTCTCTTTGATTCTTCATATCTTTTATCGGATGTTCAGGTGATTAGATACTTAAATTTTGATACCGGCCACCGCATGGTACGAAATTGTGAAAAAAATACGAAACAGACTGTACAAAAAGAGATTACTAAAATTTAATCTTATGGATGTGCCCAAATATAAGTCAATTCTTTCTAATTATCTTCACAAAATCCAATGGATATTAAATGTAAAAAAAACAATATTTTACACTTGAAGAATGTATAGAATCGTCTGCGAAAATGTCTTTTTTCACAGACAAATCAAGAAAGAGACGGAACAAATTAAGTGAGGACACAAGAAAATTATTAAGTTTTTGGCAAGAACTAAAGCTAAACAAAGATGAAAACACGGCTCTACAAACTGAATACGAAGAAATTAACAAGCTTACGAAAAGAAACATTAGATGTGACCTTCGAAAACATGAAGAGACCTTAGTGAAAAACCATGTGCACGACCATGTCTCTGAAACGAATTAAAATGTCAGAGAGCTTAGGTAAAAAATGGATCCCACAGCTAATAACGGCTGATGGCACTATTGCCACGTCAAGACGTAAAATCGTAGAAACAGCCACACAATTCAACGAAAATCTTTACTTTAGCGGGAAGATAAAATGCCATGCACTGATCTAAGATTTCCTGGGAAGTTTAAAACTCCATTCGCCTCTCCCAGAAATCTTACCAAGCGAAGTCAGACATATTTTGAAACAGAAACGCTCAAATAAATGTTCCGGAGAAGACGGCATGATAAATGAGTATCTGAAATTTGGAATTGAAGAATTAGCAGTCACTAACAATTATTTTGAACAAAGTGCTGCCAGAAGGAGAATTACCAGAAGAATGGAAATCGAATATTTTAATACGACTTCACAAGAAGGGTTCAAAAGAAATTATTGACAACTACCGTCCGATTAGCATCATGTCAAATATTTTCAAAATATTCTCTACTAAATCTAGATTATTATATTTCTCACCAACTTAATAAGTGACAATGCAGAAAGTAGTAAGATGAAGTGTTAGCTAATTAGGTTTAAGTAGTGAAACCAAAGTGAACAGTGTTAAAATTGACTGTGACGAAGGAGTGTTACTTATTGTGTGTGTAAATAGCGTTTACATTATTTTTGTATATAAATAGCGTATGAAAAAGGAAGTTCCCGAATTGGGTGCTCGGTAATTCTACCATTATGTAACCTATCCGGCAATTGGAGGCCCTTACCTTCTAAGCGATTGTAACGGGCTATGATAATAATAATATTATTAAGAAGAAGAAATAGAAGAAGAAGAAGAAGAAGAAGAAGAAGAAGAAGAAGAAATAGAAGAAGAAGAAGAAGAAATAGAAGAAGAAGAAGAAGAAGAAGAAGAAATAGAAGAAAAAGATGATGATGTAACAATAATTCATAAGGATAACCATGCATAAAGAAATAAGAGTATTACATCCCCTGAATTTAAAAGATATATTTACATTAAAATATATAATTTTACTTAATTGAATTTAGGCTAATATTTAATTAAAATCTCTTACAGCAAGTCAAAAATTATTGTAATATATATAGTATTGTATTATATAATATATAAGTATAAATTTACAATTTTGTTTCCAAGAAAGGATTGTTAAATATAATCAAATCAATAACGAATACATGTAGGCAATGTTCGCAGACATAAAGAATCAACTATTTTAAATCGAATGAAAAGCTGGGTATTAAAATCCTAATTTCTCATTAATCCTGATAATACTTCATCAAATATTTTCACACTGAGGCCGTACACGGCCCTCCCCTTAACATTACTCAATGAACAAATAAGATGGTACCCTCAAAATAAACCAAAAAGACATTTGGGATCATGATCACGAAACTATCTGTTTGGTTTTAGTTTCAGTAATATTTGTAATTGTTACCTTAATATTTATTATACGTACTGTAAAACAATGTACATGTATTGTGTGTAGATTTTTTGTAATGAGCTTTTGATACTGCTACCTGATCGATTTTCCATATATATCAAGGGCGAGTTGTACACTCGTATCCTATCAAGAGAGGAGGACGAAGCGTTTTTAAATCCCTAAGGCCCCAAAATATG